GACGCTTCTCTTGTCTTTTAAAACACTGGCAGACAGATTTAACAGGTCATGAAAACGACTTTAGCTGATAGAACCTGATTGCAAATGTAAGCACTGCATCAAAAGAAGTTCACAATAAGTTAAACACAAATTGGAAAGATCTGAGAAACAAGAAAAGGAACGTGGGAAAGAAAAAGATGAGCAGAGAGCTCTAGAGAGGCCAAATCACAGGAAGCGTTAAAAGCTGCAGCGTTTCCCTTCAGCTGTACACTACATCCCTCTACTGAACTTAAAGTGGAGCTGTTATCATTATCATAAAGTGCTAAACTGCTTTATTTCCATATTAACTATGCCCAAAGCTGCAAACGAACTTAATGTATATATAATTAATAGCTGTGAGCCAAAAGCTCAGGATGCACACTGCTCTAAAAACTGTTGGCTCGATGATTCTATTTACAAGGGCCAATCAGAAGAAAGCTGGTCAGTAACAGCAAAAGGGGGAGGAGCTAAACCAGCTTATTTCAGGCAAAGGATGACATGGGAGCTGTACAAAGGCCAAATAAGATACTTATTTATAATAAGTAATCATGCAATCATGCAAACCTACTCCAGTAGAGTCCAAGAATAAAATATGGAGGTGGAAATCGCTGCCACAGCAGGTCCACTTTACACAGGCTAAGTGCACTAAGGAGCGTGCTCCAGGAAAATAAAGTCAATGTTAGAAAATAACATCAGTTTTGGGGTCTAAATGATTAGAAATTGACTCTATTTTAAGTGTGTTCACATTAAGTATAGCTACATGATGAGCAGTCTAGTTTCACAGAACAATTTTCAGCACCAAGGACAGCACCGACTGCACCACCACGAAGCCTGGAAGTTTCATGCATGACACAAGTACAACCATCTGTCATCATTTCAGCCCCAAAAACACATTCCCAGGTCTTACTTTCATAACTTCCACCTGCAAGTCTTCATGGAGAGATGGGGTAACTCTGATAGCCTCCAACATCTGGCTGAGCAGCTGTTTCTCCAGTGCCTCCACCTCCACGCTAGCTCCACCCACAAACCTGTCCTCACACAGGAGCTTCTGTGTAGAGAAAAGCTACAGCTTCAGTTTGTACATTCCACTTTAAGCTGGTGTCAAAGTTCAATCAGAAAGGTTTAAATAAAGACGAATAAAATCCAAATAAATAAATAAAACCTGTATTTATACATTTGTATCTTCCAGTACCTGCATGCCAGTAAGTGCGGTCTGTCCCAGTTTGGTGTTTTTTGACTCCAGAGCCATCTGTAGAGGCAGCAGACAGCGCTCTCTGGAAGCAAACACAACACAGTAATGCAGGCAGTGCAATCACAGCTCTCTACAATCTCTGAAGATTAGCTGACACGATCACAGGCAGTCAGGGATTGGTGTCAATACAGTGAGCGAACACAGATTTTGGAACAGAAAAAAATGCTAAATATGGAGTGAATAAATCTTAGAGTGGAAGTTAATAAATTAAGCTTTTAATAAGTGAGTTTCTCATCAATGATTAGTGGTTGAAAATGGTTATGTTGCATAGGTGGAATATCTCTTAAAGGCTGTGAAACCGTGCGTGCAGTACTTCAGAGATGTGAGAAGAAAACAGATCAGCAGATTATCAGAACGTCTCCTTTTTCACCTCCATCATAAATCTGTGCCCTCCTCCAAAACCGAAGCATTATAGTTTACAATCGTTAGAGTAACAAGTCAGGAGGAGCAATTTACTTGAGCTTCTCTTGTCTGGCAAAAGGTTTCATTGGCCAACCCGTCTGATGGGTGAGGGGAGCGCAAGTCATGAAGTTGAACTACATTCTAGTTCTTGTGTCATTAGAGCTGCATATAAGCAACATTTGTAATAAACGTCAAACCTGGGCTGGAGGTGGGTTGCAAAGCAGCTTGCAGAAGTGCCACACTGTTTTCTTGCTAAGGTCGTGCTCAATTAACCTCTTTCCTGATGAGTTTACTGCTGTTTTCACGTCACTCTGTACAACATGGTGTCTGTTTTAGAAATTGTGGCCCACAATTTATTAAACACAATAACATCCAGAAGGATATAAAGCAAAGTATGCGTCAGGGTGGGCCAATCATATCACACCACACGAGCTCACAATGTCAGCTGGTTTCTCAGTCAGATCCGCCCGTCACACGAGCAAAATGCTAAGCTTAAAACTTTGCCCTGGGAACCCAAATAATCTCAGCAACCACATCCTTTGCTAAATAAGCTTTTCACTGTAGCTTCACGCAGGTATCTTT